GGAGGCTGCACCGCCTCCGCCGCCACGGGAGGCTGCACCTCGGCCTTTGCCGCCCTTGCCGCCCTTGGCGCCATCCCTCGGTGAGCCTCCGCCGCCGCCTCCACGATGCGCGGGCGGGGAGCCGCCGCCGCCGCCATCCGCCCAGACCCCGACGCGGGGCGAAGGCTTCGAGGGCGCCAGCTCCAGCCCAATCCCACACTGCCAGCACTCCGCGTTCTTGCGGAAGTTCCAGCGGTAGCGGCAGCCCGTGCACACGACGAAGCCAGGCTCGGCCTTGGGCCCCATCGCTGGAGCGGGCGGGCGCGCTGCTCAGCCGCGGGCGCGCGGCAAGCAGGAGCCGACGGGGGCGGACCCACCGACTCGGAAGAAGGCGTGACCCGCAGGTCCTGGAGGGTGCTGCGGTGGCAGCACTCGCAAGTTGGAAAGGAAGGTGGCCTCAAAGCGGAACCTCCCTCGCGCTCAGAATTCGCCCCGAAAGACTCGCGGTCGTCGGGACGGTTCATTGCCTTGAGCCAAAATGGCTACGGAACGGTGTGGGCATTGGATAAGAAACCCTTAGATAAGGAATCCAAGGTCTGGAAGCCAGTGGAACTCTAATCGTGGGTCGGCCATGGATATCACCGCCGCCCTCGTTGGACAAGGGATCCTCCAGGGTCTGGCGCCTCCTGGGACTATTCCTTAACAAACGCCTCCATCGTACTCCACGCACGCAAGTGGCCCCTCGCTGGAGAAAGTGCGAAACTGGTGCGCATCCCATCCCCCGCTTCCAACCCCCTTCATCGGCTGCACGCATGCTACACGCATGCATACCTCACGGATGCGGGCACGAGTGTTTGTAGGGAAAGTAGCACAACCGCGCATTAATTACCCTGTGACGTACCCAACCCTTTTTTATACACGTGGCGCTTATATTCAGGACCACTCAATGCTGACTGACATTCTGAAGGACCCGCAGTGCGCAAGAAGAGCACTCGGGAGTGAAATCAGGAGAGCATCAAGAAGAGGAACAGCTAACATACAAAATGGAAGCACAAGGGCGTTAAAAGAAACACAACAGATGGGAGGCGGCGAGGGCTAAACCAGAACATCGGTTTAACTCAGCAACGCGCTGCGCTGAAAGAGGCTCACCCAAAAATGCAGACAAAAGGGCGCGGCAGCGAACCCAAAGAGAACAACCCAAAAGTGGAAGCAAAAGGTCGCGGCCTCGAAGATACTAAGCAGGAGAACCCAGTGACCGTGTGGGAGTTACCTCCGCTGGGCCTCCCAGGAGCCCACGAAAGTGGCGACCATTGCGCAGATCGCAAGCCACCAAGGGGCGGCGAGGTACCGAGGTGATCCGCGTGGGACGCACCTCCGCTGGGCCTCCCAGCAGCCCACGCAAGTGGCGACAGTTGCGCAGATCGCAAGCCCCCCAGGGGGCGGCGAGGTACCGAGGTGATCCGCGTGGGACGCACCTCCGCTGGGCCTCCCAGCAGCCCACGAAAGTGGCGACAATTACGCAGATCGCAAGCCCCTCAGAGGGCGGCGAAGTACCGAGGTGATCCGCGTGGGAAGTACCTCCGCTGGGCCTCCCAGGAGCCCACGAACATGGCGACAATTGCGCAGATCGCAAGCCCCTCCAGGGGGCGGCGAGGTACCGAGGTGATCCGCGTGGGACGTACCTCCGCTGGGCCTCCCAGGAGCCAACAATAGTGGCGACACTTGCGCAGATCGCAAGCCCCTCCAGGGGGCGGCGAGGTACCGAGGTGATCCGCGTGGGACGTACCTCCGCTGGGCCTCCCAGCAGCCCACGAAAGTTGCGACCATTGCGCAGATCGCAAGCCCCCCCAGGGGGCGGCGAAGAACCGAGGTGATCCGCGTGGGACGTACCTCCGCTGGGCCTCCCAGCAGCCCACGAACGTGGCGACAATTGCGCAGATCGCAAGCCCCCCAGGGGGCGGCGAGGTACCGAGGTGATCCGCGTGGGTCGTACCTCCGCTGGGCCTCCTAGGAGCTCACGAAAATGGCGACAATTGCGCAGACCGCAAGCCCCCCCAGGGGGCGGCGAGGTACCGAGGTGATCCGCGTGTGACGCACCTCCGCTGGGCCTACCAGCAACCCACGAAAGTGGCGACACTTGCGCAGATCGCAAGCCCCCCAGGGGGCGGCGAGGTACCGAGGTCATCCGCGTGATGTTCCGCTGCACCTCCGAAATGGGCCTCCCAGGAGCCCACGAAAGTGGCGACAGTTGCGCAGATCGCAAGCCCCCAGGGGGCGGCGAGGTCCCGAGGTGATCCGCGTGGGACCCACCTCCGCTGGGCCTCCCAGGAGCCCACGGCGACTGCGCAGATCGCAGCCCCCAGGGGGCGGCGAGGTCCGAGGTGATCCGCGTGTGAAACCTCCGCTGGGAACAGAACCCACGAAGTGGCGACACTTGCGCAGATCGCAAGCCCCCCCAAGGGCGGCGAGGTACCGTGTCCGCGTGGACCACCTCCGCTGGGCCTCCCAGGAGCCCACGAAA